GTCAGCCTTCCTGCTCCTATGATGCTGCTTGGCCTGCTGTGTTCATCCAGCTCTACACCTTGTTATCTCAACTGGTCTTTGTATTTGGCATAGACCTGGCACTGAAATTGATAACAACATTGCTCAGTGTGTGGTAGGCAGAATATCCTTTGGAACTGATGGCAGCAAGTTTGAACAACAGCTTAAGTAAGCCAAATAAATACCAAAAGAACTGCAGATGCTGGAAATCAGGAAGAGAAATGGAAATTGCTGGAAAAGCTCAGCAGGTCTGGCAGGATCCGGGAAGAGAAATCAGATTTAACGTTTCAGTCTAGTGACCCTTCCTCAGAACTGTTGATAGCTAGGAAGAAGTTTTTTTATGCAGAAATTAGGGTGGAGGAAGGGTGTAAGGAGTAAACAATAGATGGAGATATAGCCCAAAGAGAGAGAAGGACAGTTGGACAGACAAAGGAGTTGATAACAATAAGCCTGGGAGAATGAATAGCTACTAATGGGGACTGTTATAGGCTAACAATGGGCAGTGTGTAATAGAAGAGATAACAAGGTGTAGAGCTGGATGAACACAGCAGGCCAAGCAGCATCAGAAGAGCAGGAAAGCTGACATTTTGGGTCTGGACGCTTCTTCAGAAATAGCAGCCCATGTGATAACAAGCCCTGGTGCGTGGGGATTGGTTAAGGACATGGGAGAATGTGCCTCAAGCCCTAAAATTATTGAACTCACTATTGAGTCCAGCAGGCGGCAGAGTTCCCAAGTGGAAAATGCGGTACTGTTCTTCCAGCTTGCTCTGACCTTGGTTGGAGCACTGCAGCGACCCTGAGACAGAGAACAGGGTGCTGTGTTGAAATAGCAGGCAACTGGAAGCTCAGGATCATTTTTACGAACAGTCCATGCTTCATTTCCCCAGTGTGAAGGAGACCACATTGTGAGCAACGAACACAGTAGACTAGATTGAGGTTAAGTAAGGTGTTTCACAAGCAGTGGCTGTTTCCAGTAACAATACCAAAGTGTTTTGCTGGTGGCTCCAGCCCTAATTTCAGATGTGCTGCGCTTAGCCATGTTTTCCCCTTTCCATCCCCTTTCTGTTTTTGTTGGCCTCTCCCACACCCTACATTATAACAAACAGATCTCAAACTGTACTTTCTGGTGGGTCTGTATGTGGAAATGTTTACTGAGCAGGGCGACCTTTGCTGACAGATGAGGTGGGGATCACCAGGGATCCTTGGGGGCAGAGTTTAAATCGTGTTAATTCACTGAACTCCCAGCTCTGCTTGCCACTGCTGCTGAGAGCTTTAGTTTAAAGGCAGCATAATATGACAAATATATTAACTGAAACCATAAGTAGCACTGTCACTTAAACAGAAAAAACTGACCATCCAGCAGCTGCTCTGCCAGGTTGCCCTCTGCTTCACTATGGCTTCACTAGACTGGGTAAATCAAGTTCTGCTTTCAGTGTGGTGTGTTTTAGAGGAACCACATCAAATCCCAGCAGCTTCTTCATGGGAAACAAAAACGTTGGGCTCCCAGAAGGAAAAACCAGGTACTAGCACCAGTGTAAAATCATCCTGCTATGATATAATGTGCTCTGTTATAGAATTCATAGTAATACTGGTCATGGCTCTGGTAATGACACCAGTAATACTGGTCAGGGTGCCGGTTATACTGGTCATCTGTCATTATGGTCATGGATTCAGCATTATTGGTCATGGCACCCATATGCATTAGTGAGTCTGGTGCTGTATAGTATAGGGGCACTGCCCAAATGGGATTTATCAGGTCAGTTGTGAAGAACTGAAATGAAAGGTGCGTATGGAAAGGCTACTGGGGATGGTAGGGGTTTCTGGTGCTTGTGTGGTGAAGGCACTGAGAGTAAGGGTGCATCTTATTGGCAACATCAATTGAGGCACTCATTGAAGATTCTGAAACCTATTTTATTGGAAATCTAAATCATAACAGTGTACGTCACCCTATGAAAATGGCAACACTTTTAAAAGGAGAAACATTTATAAAAATGCAGAATCCCTCCCTCCTCATCACTGTGACACTGACTGTTGTGCTTGGCTGCTTTTTCTTGTTCTGTTAAGGTCCATAATCTTCTCCGATATATAACTATGGACCCGGGCTTGCTCCTTGCAGACCCCTTCAGTATTCATCCCCTTAGATCTGAGGTAGTGGCCGTAGCAAGCTGAAAGTGGGGGAGAACAGAGGGAAAATATAATTAATGAAGTCATAATACTGCAGTGTGGATTAAATAATATTTTATAGAAAGTGGTTACAACAGGAGTATAATGACACCTTACAAGCTAGTACAGTAAGACACATTTTAGCAGCGTGAACCTTGAACACCTTAAAGTGTTCACATCATCGGAAATGACTGGAGGGGAACCTTGTACGCACTAAGATCTGTATCAGCCTTGAGAGCAGACTAGAGAATATAAACAGATACTTGTAGACAGATTAAGTCAAAAAACATAGATTTCTGTTTATTGTACAAGAATGAAATGTAAACAATGATTGCAGGGGTATAAAGATTCTGAAAAAGAGTCATCCTGGACTTAAAATATTAACCTTTTCTCTCTCTACTGCGTTTCTCCAGCTATTCGCTGTTTGCTTCAGACTTCCAGCATCTGCAGTATTTTGCTTTTACTGGAGTATGAAAGTTTTTGGTTTTCTGGGTGTATCAGACAGAACCGGACAGAATGATCAGAGTTCAGTTCAGCCAGGCCAAGGCACTCCCTCCGAGTTTCAAAAACAGAAATTGCTGGAAAAGCTCAGCAGGTCCGGCAGCATCCGTGGAGAGAAATCAGAGCTAACTTTTCGGGTTGAGTGACCCTTCCTCAGAACTCTCTCTGAGTTTGTTTGAATAAACACAAATTTGACCTGCACACCTGAGTCCTCAGTGGTCTGTGTAGGAGATGAAGCACAACAATATGAATGGTACATTCAGAACTGGCATGATGTTTTAGACCCTGAGGGGATGTATTGAGGGCATGTAAGGGAACACATAAATGCTATCAGAGTTTGCAATAGAGTTTACCTTTAACAGCACTCAGTTTAACAGGAGAAAGTGCAGGTTTGGGTACAGGAGGTGTGTCCGCATTGATGAAGCGGGCACACACTCTGCCATGGATCGACCTGTTGCGGAGCACGTCTGAGCCCCATACAGCAGCAGCCAGGGTCTTGACAAACATCGAGTTTGTCTTCGATCGCAGAACATTTTCCCATTGGCGCTCTGTAATCTGCAGACCACCCTGAAGTTGTACCTGTGGCAAAAAAACGTACATCTCAGTTTTCTGCTGGAAATAATGCAGATTAAGGCACTGTGAACATATAGAGGCTATGTGCACATAGAGGAGATGCTTTACAGCTGGAAGACTGCAGATAGAGTCCAATTTTTAACATCGCAACTGCCATACTAGAGATGCAGCATTACTTGGTGCAATGTGAGAATATTTGGTGATACAGTGGACAGCGAAGATGATGATCTAAGAATACAACAGGACCTGGATCAACTGCGCCATTGGGCCAAGGAGTGGCAGATGGAGTTTAATTTAGATAAATGCAAGGCGTTGCATTTTGTTAAGACAAACAAGGGCAAAACTTACACAGTTAATGGTAGGGTCCTAGGGAGTGTTGTCGAACAGAGAGACCTAGCGGTTCAGGTACACACTTCCTTGAAAGTGGAGTCACAAGTAGATAGGATGGTGAAGAAAGTGTTTGACATGCTTGCCTTTATTGGTCAGAGCATTGAGTATAGGAGTTGAGATGTCATGTTGCAGCTGTACAGGACGTTGATTAGGCCACTTTTGGAGTACTGTGTACAGTTCTGGTTGCCCTGCTGTAGGAAGGATGTTATTAAATTGGAAAGAGTACAGAAAAGATTTACCAGAATGTTAATGGGACTGGAGGATTTGAGTTATAAGAGAGGCTGGATAGGCTGGGACAGGCTGGGACTTTTTTCACTGGAGTGTTGGAAGCTGAGGGGTGACCTTATAAAGGTTTATCAAATCATGAGGGGCATAGATGAGGTAAATAGTCAAGGTCTTTTCCATAGGATAGGGGAGGCATAAGTTTAAGGTGAGAGGGGAAAGATTTTAAATGGACCTGAGGGGCAACTTATGTTCATATGTAGAATGAGCTGCCAGAGGTAGTGGTAGAGAGTTATTACATTTAAAAGACATTTGGACAGGTACATAGATAGGAAAGTTATACAGGATTTTGGGCCAAATACACGGAAGTGAGACTTGGCAAGGATGAGTTGGGCTGAAGGGTCTGTTTCTGTGTTGTATGACTCTATAGTTACCATTCCATCAATGGGAGTATAGAGATTGTCTGCAGAGGCGTTGGTCTCGCCATGTGAGCCAGTGAATGTGGGTGAAGGCTCCGTACTCATCTGCACTGATCTGGGAGGTACTGGTCTCGTCAGATCCACGGCCCGTCTGGACAGTGCAGGTCGGCGTGCTACAACACACAGCAAAACAAAAAGAAATAAGCTCTTTATTCTCACCTTCCCGATACCTGGATCTGAAACATGAAAATCACACCGGCGCAAAATCAGCAAACAGATCAGTTACACTGGGCGCGGCTTAGGAGTTGCTCCTGGAGTCGGCAGTTAAGGTCCTGCAGCTGGTCCATTCTCTCCTGTAGACGACGGATGATTCTTGTGGCCTCCTGAAGGTCACTGTTTATGGATTCCACCTTCTGCCTGAGGACTTTGTTCTCAGCCTCCATCTGCACGAGCCCTGGTCTCCTTTCCTGCCAGTCGTGTTCGACCATCCTAGGTGGAGGGGCCATTTCATTCACAAACGCTCCCGAGACAGAGAGGGAATCTGTTACGCCCCCCAGAACACAGTCGGGCATCTCGGTCTTGAAACCATCCATTAGCCTCTGCAGATGTTTTCTCCAGGCACTTTCTGTCCGAGCTCTCTTATCCTTCTGCCGACAAAGAGAAATTGGAGGTTACCTTTTTGGCATGGGTGAGGGATACAGTTCCAGACATCATGTGCTATTCTTTATTAGATGTGTCTCCGCAGTCCTGCATTGTTAACTATATCTCAACAAAGCCAAATGAATGGCTCAAGCACCTACCCTAGTTACACTGATGGCTTCCAATGCCCTCTTCCCCTGTGTGTCTCTGCTTGGGCCAGGCCCATCATCAGCGCTCTCTGATTCCACATTGCTATCCCAGGTAGGACACTTCAGCAGCCCATGCTTAGCTCTTTCTGCCCTGATCTCTTCTGGGGACTCTGGAGATGGGATCACAAGAATTATAATCAATGGCTTCATTGTCAAACACAACTGTTACAATGGATGATCACACTTACCTGCAAGCAACATGATCTGTGCTTTACAGTATGGATCATTGGGGCTCCGCGTATATTCCCCAGAGTCATAGTCCTCTGACTTGCCAATGCTTGCCTGGATCCATCGAACCATATACACTCTGCTGGGATTGTGGGTCAGGAGCTTAAATTTTTTGATGTCCTCCTGAATGGACACAATCCTGGATACACCGTTGTCGTCAAGGAATCTGACATATGCGTATTTTGCAACTGCCGCCATTGTATCTAACAGAGGTGGAAACATTCAAAAATTGTGTCCAATGTAGACTGTTTTCAATTAAATTTGTAAAAAGATTTAACTCCCAGCTATAATGCTACCTCTAATTTCCTCAGTAGGCTTCAGAAGTCTTACCTGAGCGTAGACCTCAATACTGCGATTGACTTATGAATGCCATTTTCAAACTTCACACCAGGCAGGTTCTGTATGAAAATCAAGCACACTCTAATATCTATACATACTGATATGAGTAAACAAATATCTGTTTCTCAAAACCTTTACTAAAACACACTTTCCATGCAGCACTTCCACTTAAGAGTATTGTACTATAAATGGAGGGGGAGGCACCCAACCAGGAGGGAAAAACCAGTAAAACTTATGAATGACGTATACTGGTTTTGTGTACTTCAAAATGGAACTACGGAACAGCCAGTATGCTCATTTCCAAGTACCTTTTTTTAAAGAAAATTTTGTTTTTCCCTTTTTGGGGGTGTGTGTACTAATTTGTTTGAAAATAGAGCCTTCAAACAAAAAGGTCTGACAACCACTGCTTTATCTTTCTAATGGTGACCACTTTTTTTTTTGAAACACCGAGTGAGTTTGCAGCGTTTACTGTGACTGCGGGCCTCCCTTGGCCCCTTTCATTTCTCCATTTTGACCTTTTAGCAGAAGTCCCATCTTTCTGTTGTTCAGTCCTGCTGTGAAGTGATTAATAAGTTAACATTATCATCAAATTGTTAACAAGGGTTGATCATTAGAAGGCAGCAAAATCAGAAATAAAAAGGAACAAGTGAACAAAACAAAATTTAAAACAAAAATTGTCTGGCCTGCAAAAACCTGCCCAGAGGGATAAACCAGTAAAAACAATACAGGTGGAAGTAAACGTACTGGTGCTACTGGTCGTCCATTTTGAGGGTATACAAGATGAGTCAGACCAGTATGTGTCATTCACAAGTTTTACTGGTTTCTCCTTCTGGGTGGGAACAAAAATTGTCTGGGCAGCAAACAAAAGTGCAACGTAAATTGTCTGGGTTGCAAGAAAAAAATGGCCTGTGCTTTCATGTCTGTATTAAAAGGAATAATTAACATAATGTGATGAATGGGATAGTACTGTGACAGGTATTAATTGTACTAATAACAATCTTCAGAGAATTGAGTGAGAAACTGTTTATGGCCAAGCGGAACGCAGGCGGAGGTTCAGGTTTGCCGCCAGGGATTCTACGGGCGGTGCACCAAGAGGGGCGGAGGGGTGCAACCTGCTTCCTCCTCCCCGCCCACCGGCTCCACTTCCGGCGCTGCATCATGGCGGCGGCGGTGCGGGATCCCCTGGAGGAGGAGCTGACCTGCCAGGTCTGCCTGGAGATTTACACCGAGCCGGTGATTCTGAGCTGTAAGCACAGCTTCTGCCGGGGTTGCCTGGAGGCGGTGTGGAGGGAGGCTGAGGCCTACTCGTGCCCGCAGTGCCGGGCGGCCTGGGCGGACAGGCCCCGCCTGGAGAAGAACTTCCAGCTGGCCAACATTGTGGCCGGTTACCTGGCCCTGGAGCCCCGCCACGGCGTCGTGCCCTGCACCTACTGCACCAAGAAGAGGCGCTCGGCCCTCAAGAGCTGCCTCCGGTGTGAGGTGTCCATGTGCTCCCTGCACCTCCGGCTGCACCAGGAGAACGCGGTGCTGAAGGGCCACCCCCTGACCGAGCCCACCGCCGACATGGCGACGGCCAAGTGCACACAACACCAGAAGCTGCTGGAGATCTACTGCAAGGACGATGCTGCCTGCGTCTGCAGCCTCTGCGCTTTAATAGGAAGCCACAAGGGCCACGATTTAATCAGTATCAGTGAAGCAGTGAAGGAGCTGAGGGTGTGTATGTTCATGTCCGAGCCTCTGTGTGCGTCTATGAACTGGTCAAGATTCACTGACTGCAGATCATCTGTGGACTCTAATATATAGTACAGTAGAATTAGCAGATGAACACAGGTACAAGGGCCATTTCAGTGCTTTGGTGGTGTTCAAGCTGCACCTGTGCCGGGCAGGTGTCTGAACAGGTTTATTAAAATATCTGTGATCTCACAAATAAGTCCTTTTCTGTTTCCATTCTATAACTTGAGAAGGCCTGCATATTTGCAGCACATTGTAATTGCGAACTGACCTAGGAGTAGGCCTTTTGGCCCCTCAAGCCTGTTCTGCCATTTAATAGAATCGTGGTTGATCTGATATTCCTCACATCCACTCTCCTGTGTTTTCCTCATAACCTTTGATTCCCCTCCTGATCAAGAATCTAGCTATCTCAGCCTTAAATATACCCTGCTCCCCACAGCTCTCTGTGGCAAGGTGTTCCAAAGACACTCAACCCTCTGAGAGAAGAAATTGCTCCTCATTTCAGTTATAAACTGGCACCTCTTGATTCTCACCCTCTGGCTCAATGAGAAAAGTCCCAACCTGTTCAACCTTTGCTCGTAAGAAAATCCCTCTATGCTAAGTATCATCCGCAATAATCCTTCACTGAACTGCCTCCAATGAAATTATATCTTTCCTTAAATAAGGGGACCAAAACTGCTCTCAGTACTCTAAACGTGATCTCATCAGCACCTCGTACGGTTGTAGTAAGATTTCACTACCCTTGTACTGATTTGTGGTGACCTCATATCCATTTTCTTCCCTGTTCCTTCTTTGCTTTGGTTCCATTGTCAGAAATCTCCACCTTTACAAAAGTTCAATAACCCTGCCTCCACAGCAGCACAAGGAAGAGAATTTCACAGGCGAACAGCTCTGCTATCCTAATCTCTGTCTTAAATGGGAAACCCCAGTTTTAAACTGTGTCCCCAAGTACCAGTGTCATGTATGAGGAGTTTTATTTGTATAGCAAAACTTGGATGGTTGTGCAGATCTTTCAGTTAGATCCATGAATATTTGGTTAATTAATAATCACCATGATAGCTGGTACTAAATTGGGATAGTACAAATAAAACAAGTAACTGCAACTCCATTGTGACATACAATCATTGAATTGAAGGCAAAATAAAAAAATTGTAAAATTATGAACATTTCAGTACTTAACTTATTACAATACATGAAAAATGCAGATCTCTAATTTACACAATAAAAATGAAAAGTTAACTGCATTTATACTAAAGCCTGAGTCCATTGATTTTTCATTCATCATGTACACTATTATTTATAAATTTTATAAATGATGTAACAACTTGGAATGATTTTATCTTTGTTGCTCCCTGTTAGAATAATTTGGGAGATCAACAGGAGGAACTCAGGAACAAAGTTAAAATTTCACAAGCTGCTCTCGAAGATGTTAAGAAAGAGAAGCAAAATGCTTTGGTGAGTAAATCAGCCAGTCGATGAATTTAAATTTTCAAAAGCTTAACCTCAGATGATGCCAGCTGTTATTACGGGATAGCATTCACACCTTTAAGCCTGACACCTGCCTTCAGGTGCCACTTCAACGGCTTGAGCACCTAATCCAGGCTGAAACTCTAGTCCAATGTGGTCCCTTTCAGAAACTAAGGCTCCATCTAAGATTCTATGGCACTATTTTGCAGAAGATTGGATGGATTTTCCTGTTGTCCTGATCCATATTTGCCCCTTGATCAGGTCCTAAAAACACATTATATGGTCATTAACAAACGTTTGTTGGATTTTACTATGGACAGTTTATCTATTGCCTTTCCTGCATTACAATAGTGATTATACTTTAAAGGTACCTCATTGGCTGTAAAGAGCTTTGATGTAGACTGATGTTGCTGAAATGCAAAATCTTTCTTCCCTCTTGTTTGTCTAGCCTTATTTGATCCATAATGCATTAATATGATATGCATTGGCTCTGAATCAACGTGGGTTTATCCTGGTCAATGATGAGTTTAGACCAACAATGGGAGTGGGGAATTTGAACAGGTTCTGTCTAAATATCAGAAGAATCTGCCCAGAGGATTGTGGAGGCTTACTTGTTGAGTAAGATAGATTTCTACATTTTAACAACATCAAGGGATACAGGAAGTGCAGGAAAATGACACTGAAATGAGTGATCAGCTACAACCTCATTGAATGGCAGAATAGCTTGAAGGTTTGACTGACCTTTTTTTATATAAATCAGCTGAGCTTCAGTTCTTGACCTGTGCTCAAATAGATTGAAGAGATGATAGAGGACAATGGGATGACCCTGTGCTATACTGCTCTCCCTGGTTAATTTGCAGTCTTTGTTGATGTGTTAACACCACTCATTTAACCAAGGGAAATTTCTTAGGCCAAAACCTCCCTCCGTGCACATTGTGTGTTGGATGGAGTGATTGAAACAAACAGTGATTAGATAGGGCCTGGGTGGTGGCAGAAAGTTCATTAATATCAGTGGTCCCCTAATTTTTTGCTTTTCCTTAATTTTCCATCCCAGGCCTATTCCTCCTGTTTAATGTTCATTCAGAATTCAAATGCAACAGATATACGCTGTTTTGATCTGAGGTTTAAAAAGTTGTATTTTCAATGTGAAAAAAATGGGATGGAATTGTTCATTTGTTGCAATTTCCTTCCCTCTGTTTAACGGCATGGGCTTACTATTGGGATACTATATGAGAAAAGAAAGATTTGCATTATCTCTGGACACTTGACATTATTAGAGTGATTGGCTGTAGGGAATTTGGGTGCTATGAGTTTCCACAGTGACAAGATAATGAGCGACTCATCAGCTTGGGATGTTGGTGAAGGGGCAATCATTGACCAGGACACTGCCAACTCTTTCTCGAATAGATATTTTCTGTCCACTGGAGAGATGAACAGGATCTTGGTTTAATGCTTCAACCAAAAAAAAAGTGTAATGTCGCATCTCTCTCAGAACTCTACTGGAGGGTTAATCTAGAGCTGGAGTTTCAGGAGAGGGGCTTGAACTCCGAACCTTCCTCCCTGTAGGAGAGATTACCAGCCCCTGAGGTACAGCTGACATCACTGATGATGAAGAATGAATGTGCAAGATCTGTCTTGTGTAAAGCCCCTGTATTATGTACTTACTCAAATCTTGCCACCAAAGGCAGCAATAAAGGAGAAGGAAATAAATGCTGAGGAGAGGTACGAGGCTCTCAGGCGGCAGATTGATGATGATGAGAGGAAAGCTTTTGAAGAGCTGGACAGAGAGAAGATCCAAGTAACAGCAGAGATCGATGCAAGGATCCTCAACATCCAGAATGCAGCAGAAGAATTTGAGAAGTCTCTAACAGATCTGAACAACCTGTCAGAAAAATACGATGACATCCTATTTATACAGGTGATGAATATGTTAATGTAGCTTTTACTCACAGTAATCTATAAACCAGTTCAATATGCTAAATGATCAATAATATTGCCCACTAGTCGTCCCCCTTTGTTTATGTTACTTATGCTTAATAGTTTGCCACAGTGATCATCTACGTATCTACCTTTACAATAGATTGCTTTATAAATCTTCCATTTTCCCCAGCTTTTCTCCTCCTGATGACAATGATTCATGGACTGTTGGTCCAGTAGGGGCATTGCAGCCAGTCATCTAGGAGAGTCACTGAAGGACATTAAACTAGATTTGGGTAGGAGGTTGCGCCATTGGTATGAATAGTGTGTTCCATTCTTGAGTGGTTTGCAGTTGAGCTCCATGCTCCCAGCCCAATTTTGAAACATTTTGTTTTCTGAGAAAGGGACATTTGTGACTGAGAATGGGAGTTCTGGTCTATTCGTTCTCTCCCTGAAGAGCAGATAGTTGGGCTGATGAACATATTGCTGCCTGGCTAAAACTGGTGAGCTATCTGTGCTGTTCAGAAATAATTCAGACTCTTGTGGGATAAACCCATTCAGCAGCTCCCTCTAGATGGCACATGCCATCATTTGTTGCAGGGGGAATGTTA